TTTTTTTTCCTTCAAACAAATACAAATTTCTAGCTTTAAACTTCTTGAAACTACTCTTTCGCTGAGCACCAAAGTTGGACGGACAACAAACCCAACCGTTTGCACTCGTTCTACTCAGCAACGTTTCACACATGAGATCACTGTTATACGGTAAAAATTTAATGAAACTTGAAGTCTGCCAGACAATTTTAGTCTTCGTTAAAACAATTAAAATACGTGGAAAGCTCTAATCTCTTTGACTGTTAAGTACACCTGCTTTGATGTTCACTTCTCATTAGCGCGACAGAAGAACGAAAAATTCCGATTTCGTTTATTTAAGTACACATAGATGACATCCAGCTAGAACATCTCAGGAAAAATTCAACTGAGGGAAAAATGATGCAGCAAAAAACAAAGTCGACCAACTAATTCACTCTGAGTCAATCCGAACATTACCGTCCCACCAACTTAGAAAACTCTTAGTAATAACGAACAAAGGATCCACACGTCAGCGAACACAAAGACGCTGCGAACAGCAAAGAATTGCACTAAAGTGATTTAACTTTCTTAAAGCTTCTCATTGGTATTTTAAAATGCAACGTATCCCCACCTCTAAAACTGAGTAAGATATCAAAAACTAAAAAAATAAGTGTAAACACTGGTCAGTGTGGCATAACTAGACAAAAACTGCCCTCGCTGTCAGCAAAAAACTAATAATACCCTGGAGAGCCTCAAATCTGACTGTCTACTAGTCATCAAATTAACCAAGATTTCTCTACAAAAACTCCATCCAATCACAGAATATTTTACAGACTAACTCAAACCAGAAGATATTTTATGCTGTAAGGCACTCATGACAGTGCATTTGTCTCCTTTCGCTATGCTGGTTTTTAAGACAATGACAGTGAAATATTCACAAAACCTTACTCTTTTCGTTTTCTTATTTTCTTGCTTTCTTATCCTCTCCATAGTGTAAGAAATACTCTATTTCATACCTTGCTGCGTAATAAATGCTGGGAAAAAATAGCTGTAAATGAAATGTAAAAAAGTAAGCTAAAGAAACAATAATTCCTGTTAGGGAAAATCAAATAAATGCTGCAGCATCAAACCTCAAAGTCTACGCGAGAGAACTCAAATCAACAAAATTCCTATAAAAGGAACAAACGCTACAAGATTGTTTGTACATTAATAAGAAAAACTGAGATCATGTGGTTTTTAAAAGAGAAAAATTAAATAAGTTTCGCCTTCTTCACCCTAACTTCATTCTCTGCCGCGAGCTCCCCACAAGTCATTTCCATTTTGTAGTTCTTCGTCACCATGTTTACCCACCTCTCCTCCAATTCCTTGAGTTTTTGACCAGCTTCCAGTTGACTTTGCCTTCTGCGAGAATGTATATTCATTATTTCCTCCTTCATCTAAAACCATAAACGTAATAGAAAACTTATGGTTTATAATTTGGAAAAAAATTTAACAATACCAAAGAATTTCTATATTTTACCTAACTTAAATTAAACAGCATTTTTTCTGAAAACTTCCTGACCGCAAAAATATGATATACAAGATTATTTGTGCTCAACTGTTTCACACAAAATTCTAATCCGCTTTCTTCGTTATCAAATACACAATCCAGAAATTCATTATACTTTCCACAGCACAGAATTAAAGATTAACTCTTTTGAAAAGAAACCTCTTGGATTCACACGAATGAAAAATGGATAATATGCTTTCCTACTATCTCTCTTTCATATTCCTTCAAGATAAGCCAAGAATTTGCAGTTAAAAACAGAAGTCACATTAAAAAACCTTCAAGTGATCACCTCAATCACAAAAACAAGAGAAACCCTTTGATTAGGAACTTGTAAATAGCCAGTTATCCGTAGCTACTAAGTACGAAATATTCAGCATATCTACAACTTAATAAGCACCACTTCTGAACTAATAAACAAAATTTAGCTCTATTTTATACACAACTTCCGTAGAAGCCGGCCATCTCAAGAATGTCGGCAATATCTAAAGAATAAGGACAAAGGAGCGACGTCATGCTGTTAACATAATAGACGCCTCTACTACCAATGTGAAAAAAACTGAAAAAAATGACCTTTCTCAACTGTTTTTCTTCAACATGCAGCTGTTTTTCAAGAGTTTTGTTGGCCCGAAGAAACGTTTCAGGACCGTATTCTTCCATAGATTGTAAATTCAAATTGCGAAGCAACAAATGTTCGTTCTGAGCTTCTGCGTTTCGAATAGCCTTAAACGGTTAAGTTTAATAATACTGGACAATTTTGTAACTTAAACAAACAAAGTCATCAAGATTATCTCAAGGTTCCCTATAAAAATAACTGGTAGAAATATAAAATTGGATAGCTGCAATACTGCAAAACATTTAAGCCTACACCTTTCGCCAAGAAGTTTTGTCTCCCTGTCGTCCAGTTGTAGAAGGACAAGACAGCTCACACCGTGACATATCCAATTTAGGCATCTCCTAAAATTCTTTAATAAAGCCATTTAAACGCTATGCAAATACCGAATGATAGACTGGGTATGAAATCACAACCAACGAAAGTAAAGAAGTCTCACTTGCTTCTTTGCCATCCTGGCATGTTCTTTAATCATACAAGATGTCAAGAAAACGTCGAAATCAGGTGTTGGCAAAAATTTTAAATAATTCTTTGTTGGTCGGAAAGTCCTGCATTCATTTTCAATTAATTGTAGCGCCATCTGTCGATCAGCGTCACCATAATCAGTATCAAGATAAGGTAGTGCGTCCACGAGATTCTGTTTGTCGTTCTCATTAGCCGCACTGAATCCAACAGTTGATGGTAACGCCAAAGTCGTGTTTTGTGCCATCAACCAACAAAGCTGATTAGTAAAGAGAAACTAATATGAAACTTGATGTAAATATATCTGCGAAACAAGTTTTCCACAACCAAAGCTAAATAAGATGCCTAGACAAAACAAATAGAGGGTTCATAGACCCCGTTCCAGACCCAATGCTAAGAAAGGTTTGAGATGCAAAGAATGAATAGCAGTGGAAAACATGACACCATGTGCAAATGTAATAGTCGTCTAAGAAATACAGGTAGAAAAGAATAATACATTGGAAGGTGAAGTGACTAAACAAATACAGCATATATCCTGTCTTTTTTTTTTTTTTTTTCAAGAACCGTAAAAATGTCAAAAAATAACAACTATACTTTTGAAAATTTCACCTAACCTCGGTTTCAAATTTCAACTAATTTAAAATTCTTACAAACACCTCCTCAAAATACACAGAAATATGGAAACCGTGCGACTTTCCCAGAATACTTCCTGAAGCCAACAATGATGGAATCACAACAGAAAATAAAGTGAATTTCACAAACAAATCCAAAAAGCGCTTTTCATATACAAAGGAGTTCACTGCTAATTTGGTGTAGAAATTTTTGCAAGCAATGGAGAAATATCAATGACTTTGGCGCATGTTTCCGAGTTACGCGGAGGAATCAGGAAAAATTAACCCCAACTGTGCTGAAGTTCCGTATTGATTTGTTACTGAAGTAAGCTGTTTATCAATATTTTATCTCTCTGTTCTTAAAATTTCTTGCTTTTCAGCTCGTTTTCTGCTGAGGTTTCAGCAGAAATGTGAATGCATCGTCACATTTCAGCAAATACATAAGCCAGGGTTTCAAAAACCAATACTATTCAGCGACCGTCATGTGGCACGCAGGTATGGCGACCAGAGAAAGGCGCCAAAATAACAGTAAAACTCTATAAATCAGAAAGGTAAAAACGTCCAAATTTGAACTGAACCAGCATTTTCTTGGGGAAAAAAGATGAAATCCCTAATATTGTGAGAGAGATGTTTATAAAAATTCACCACTCACTAGAAATAGTAATTAGATAAGAAAGAAGCCCATTCTCTATCGTGATGAGACCAAGAGATGACCTTATCAAGTTCCGTTTAATCTTAAAATTCGTCTAATATAGACCGACGTCCTATGTTCAACATCGCCGCCAAAACTGATACTTTTTTTTAGGTCTAGGTATTATGAATGCTTGCTGCCTGCTATTACGGCAAAAAACGTGTTTAAACACTATACATGAAAACTCGATAAACATATACACTATACATGAAAACTCAATAAACATATAACTGAAGTAACTTTGCTTATTTAATTTACAAGTTCGGTGTTCAGTACTTTTTATCATATTCCATAAAGTAGAACTGTTTGACGCCAAACTCATGAGGTAGTCCTGTATATATGAAAAAAAAAAAAAACAAGTTATATAAACCTTTGTCAGCAAATTCGTTCTTATAATAAACTAGCTGACGTACCAGATCTCTGGCATATCTTTGACTTTGTTAAAATCAGCATTTAAGAGACCTTAAAAATACGAGCCAACTCCTGCAGCGACCACAACAGAAATAATCACTTGCCCGTTATCAATGACAAATGTCGAGTAAAAAGAGTACAAACGGTTGAATATGCATCGTTATACAGAACTCGATTGTTCGGAGCTAGTGCTCGACAAAGGAATGATTTCAAAATATTTAAAACTTGAAAACGCAAGAAAGATATTAGTTAAAGAAGCCAACGAAACAACGATGCTTAACGAAGAAAAGACGATAAACTATGGTTACCACATTACATTTTTGAGTACGCGGAAAGGTATCGGGAAGTACAGAAGAAGGGACTTAAAATGTAACAAGACGACACCATAGGTATCGTGCAGTGAATCAAGTGAAAAATTAAATGGTCATCATTTCTTTGTCTCCTTCGCTAACACTTTTCAACAGTTCTCATTAATTCTTCAACTTCACCTTTCCTTCTTTTGCC